CCATTCAAAGAAACAAGTCCAAAGAAAACCGAAAATCGCACGCTCAATTGATAAATCCAAAGACGAGAATCGTGATAGTTTCTGTTATCCTTCCAATTCCTAGAGTTCTTCAACGAACGATTCGAACGGAGAGGAAGATCATTTTGATATTCGAAACGATGTCGAGCTCCCTTAACATTTAGAAAAACAGGGGGGAAGCGTCGCCGGAGATGTTCACGATCGAGTCGGATCATTTGGGAGGATACACGCTTCTGTACGGATATTTGGATCGATCGAGACCCCAAAGCACGGTGTAACGGGTGAAAAAAAAAACGGCCGCGAAACGGAAAAGGAAAAAGGAAGGGGTGTGACTTCGTTGCGACGGGATCGGTTGAGAAATCGGTTCGTTTCGCCAAGAACAAAAAATGGTTCGATGGCTGCACACTCACACACACACACACACACACACACACGTTCACGTCAGTCCTTTCTGTTTTCCTAACCGTCCTCCCTCCACTGCTGGGTGGAATGTTTCTGTTGTTTTTTTTTTTATTCTTTCCCTCGGTTCTCGATACGTGAATCGGTCATTACGCGTGAACATATTTTACAGCGGCGTACAATATATACACACACATACACAAAATACGATTCGTATATTTTACACACGTATACGGTGTGCCCGGTACCAAGGCGTACAGATGCAATTATCTCTTACGGTGTTAAAAGAATTAGGAAAAAACTTTTACTCGTTCGGATGATCCTCAAATGTAGAGTATTCGAATATATTGTGGGATTATTTTAATGGTAGGGGTTCGGTGCCATATTCGTCTCTTTGTACTCCAATTGTGTATCGGCTAGTTCGTTATCGACACGTGAACATATGACTTTCTTTGTTCATTTAGATCGCAGAACAGTTAAATAAAATTCTCAATTGTTCCTGGTGTGTGTGTGCGCGCGCTCGTGTACACGACAAAATTATAATAATAATTTCACAAAATGCTCCAGTTCAATAATTATATTTCCTATTTTCCACCCGGTCAAAACAAATCCCTCTGTCCGATCGCAACGTTCGTTCGTTGTTCATCTTGGGAACATCTCGAGAAACAGTTGCACGCGTACGAATTCGACACGTCACACCGTATACAATAATTACAATAATAATAATATTAATAATAATAATAATAATAATATATATTCTCTCTTTATATCTCGGTAAAAGAACCTCGTTTATCCGCGGTATTTCTTTCATCCGTGTTACTCGTGCCGTAGTGACACGACCACGTGTATATATAAACTATGTACAAAACAACGACAGAATAGAATCAACGCCGCGAAAAACATCCGTTTCCGCGTAAAAATTAGGGTTTCACGGGCGAAGGGGCATCATCCTTTCTACCCGCCCCTCCATACACATACACACACCTGCGCACTCACACATCATACACGCACGCATACACAATCGGGAAGTATTGTTCTGAAAGACACCAGTGGCCGATCGACACGAAATTTGAGGATGGCAAAGACAAGGGGGTGGACCTCAAATATAAAATTTTAGTTTGGGGGTACTTATTAGTTCACGAGATATTGATAAAAAAAAAAACTTTCGGTACTATACCATGAATTCTGCCTATATGACGTTACTAAACAAATGTCTTCGCTGTATGGATGGCGCAATAACGGATACCAGCCTCGGTACTATAATGTGTCCCACGTAAAGTTGGTTATTTTAACAGTCGGTCGCAACTACGACAGTGCAAAGCAGGACGGTAAGGGAGAGGGCCAGTGTGAATCATATTTTATTTCCGTATTCCATTGAAAAAAAGTGCATAATTATTACAGGTACTAATCATAATTGAAAGCTTTTTTTATATTCCCATTTCGGAAATTATTAAATATCCGAAAATAAAATTTTATGTTTGGCAATCCATTATACCTCCTTCTCACCTCCACCAGTCCCCTAAAATTTCACGTCAATCAGCTACTTGTGTCTTTCGGAACAATGTCCACAGTCAGTTCACGGGAATCAATAAATTGTAGTGACAGTGTTACGATGTAATATAATATGAAATGGTGGTAGCAGCGATAATAGACGCGACCGACCAATCCGTTTTGATCACAAACTATGTAATTAAGAGAAAAACCGACTCGCGACGATCGATCTACGACGGAAGATATCGACGCGACGGAACACGCCCCCTCTCCCCCCGCCACAACCCTAATCGTGGGCGGTTCATCTTTTTAAACAGGTTCGGATGAATCCTTGGTCCGTACGGAGCAACAATCTATATATATATCACTTTCTCGAATTGTAATCTCACTCGATACGAACGAAAAACGAAAAGGAAGAAATTAACGCGTGTGTATTATATAGCGCTACGCGATATATTATCGTATTAAGAATAATCAGTGTTCTTTGGTAACACAGTGACGCGCGTCCGGAGACCACAAAATACGGTTTCATACGTATTGTCGGATCGTGACAAGATGGTCCCGATAAATGCGCATGGTTTCGGACGATAATCGTGGGATCGTGATCAAGATTATGTTTCTTTCGCGATATCCCCTTCCTTGGCTGTGTTTCTCGAGAAATAAATCTTTGTGGGATCACACGAGCGTTTACTTGACGTAAAATTAAATTCAATCTATTTTGTGAAATTTGAAAAAGTAAATTTAGAGGCTGTATAATAATAGAATAGTTGAATGAAAATGTATCGAATTTATTAAAACAGATTACTGTTATTATATGAAATTGATTACCATTTCGAAAGACGTTGTCTTCTCGAATGAAACGAATACTACACGTGGTCTTTCGATAAAAAAAATATGTACTAAATTATTATTTAGCAGTCCCTGGGTTTTACTAATATTTAATTGTTCATAAAACGTGTCCCTCAAATGAGAATAATAACTTAATAATTAATTAAAGCACAACTATTTCTAGTATGTCGCATTTATTTACTACATATAATTACTTTAAGAAAATAACAATCGAATAAGTCCTTACTAGAACTGATCGAGAAATCTAGTAACAGTTAAAAATAGAAAACCAACGTTCATTAATCAAAGATCGCGACAATCTTTAATGCTAAAAACAATTATTCACTGTTTCGAACTAACGTCAATCTGGAATAAATATTCCCATAAATAAAAATATATTCATTAGTAATGTTTATTCGACGAAAAATGCAGTGCTTACTTGTATCATTATACAGTTACCAAATGTACTCTCTCGACATCTCCTTTTTTAAATTAAACATTTAAATGCTCAAACAACTTAACTGAAAAGTGTCTTCCTTCCCATCAAACACACCTTTCAACGAATTTACCGTCCTTACTTGTCAATTTAGAAAAAACAATGATATCAACCATTTTTCCAAACAGAAATTTTTCCACAATAATTTTCAGAATCTTAACAATTCCAAATTTATCCGTAAAGAAAAAAAAAATGGAAAACGTTAAATGTTTCTTTTACCAAACGAAAGTACCGTCTCGCCTATACAGTCTTTTCGACTTCCATCTGCACTACAATGCACAACCATACAGGACATAGAATCTCCATGAAAACTTAACAGATACAAAGTTGTATTTCTCAAGCACAGAGTATCCAACGTGTTTCATTACCGTCGTTCGCGAGGGAAAGACAACCAGTAACCAACTCTTGATCCACGATCATCGGACGAAAACCTGCACAATTCAAGTACTATGGCTCTCTGCCTTGCCATCGTGTCTCGGCCAGCGTACGAATAATTATCAATTAACTCGTGCGTTTCCTCACTGTCGCCAGTGACAAAAACTCCGCCATCTTGTCTCGCGACCAATTTACATACAGGTGTCTGCACACGAAACGTATGCATGTCCCCCCTCTCTCTATGTACATACACGTGGGTCTGCAACGTTCATCGCTCCCCATTTGCAGGCTAGTCGGGCGCCACGTCATTCCAGGTCTCGACAGCCCGGCAATTGATCGTGGATGGTTCTTCAGCCGTATATACACGCGATTATACCGTAAAACTTGGATTAGGTGCCCAAAACGATCTACAGACTTCTCTCGATTATCGTTCCGAACTTGGATCCGCGATGGGACAATAATCTTGTAGGGGGAAATGATTCAGACCCTCGTAAATTCGTTTTTTGTCCGAAGCCCGAACCTCGGCAACAAAAGCGGGGGGGGGGGGGCACCAAAGTATGCACTTGACAGATTCCACAGCCTCCCCCTCCCAACCCCCCTAGTGGTGGGGATAACGCCTGGACAATAATCGTGTAGAGCAAGCCACACGATAATTGAGAGGAGTCTGTAGAGCGTAAGTACCCCATGTTCATCCCCAGCATTGATGGGGGAATTCCCCTTGACGTACTGCGAGGTTCAATCCTCCTTTCTTTTTCACATACTGTCTATTTTTAGGTTCGATGTAGATTTTATATTTAGAGTCAATTCCTTTACTTCATAAGCTTCCGGCTTCGGTTCAAATGTTCGGACACTAATCTAAGTTTTACCGTACATCGTTACTCGGAACCACAAGCTTGAATAGAGAGAGAGAAAGAAAGGGAGAGAGAAAAAACGCCTACTTCGAGTTTACCAAAAAATCATAAAAATGATCCGTCTGTCTCTGGCGGACACACGGTAACCGATCATCCAAGGTGATCGTTTAACCGTGGTCGTCGGGGATCGGGGGAATTCTCGACGTGGCTGTCAAAAGTAGGAAATACACTTCAACGACGACCAGAGCTACTTCCTCTCCACACACCCGTGGTCGAAAAGCCTCTCTCACGCGGGCACTCTCTCGCTCGCACATCATATAACACGCGCCGCCGTCTCGTCAGTTTAAGCTAAAGCTTATCGGTAGTTAAGTAAATAATCGGTAGATCCTTTCTATGTACACCCTGTTTCGAATAGTTTCCTTAAACCTAACCTTAAAACACCGCGCGCGTCTCAGCGCACGCGTTACGCGTGGAACTCTCTAGTTCACGAAAGAGGATCCAGCCCCTGGATTCGAGGGCTGGTCCGTCCACCCTATCCCCCGTCGAAATCCTAGATTCGGTGGATTCATTAATCACCCGTGAACAGGTAACAGAACTTTGGACGTGTTGGTTCTCTTGCGGGGGTATAGTAAGTTTCCGAATTCCGTCTCTGTTACGGGCTAAATTTCATCGGGCGGGGGATGGGCAGCGTTCGCCGCTTCCTACCGGTCGATAAGGTCACGGAAATGCGTTTTCCAAAGTGTAGGATAATAGAGAAAGACTCGTTATCGACCGTCAGTAACAGCGACGCCGGGTAAGTGCGTGTCCTTTGCTCCGCCGTTGTACCGACCGTTCAAATATCTCTCCCGGGGGTTGCCGGCTTTCGATGATCGGTTTTGTGTGTGTGGGACAGCTCTTAAACGGCGCCCACCACGTTTTTGCTCCGTTCGGCACCAGCTGAACTTTACGAACCAAGCTGCTGGCCACTAGCCACGTAAATGTAGCTCTATGGTTGCTGGAGCAACAGCTGCTCGAGCTCGTCGGCGGACCTCAGGAGGAACGCCGCGGATTCTCGGTAGCCGGTGATCAATTGCCTGACCGCGGTCATTTCCGTTGCATTCAGCTTGTGACTGAGCAGCGGCTTCGTGTTCTTCATGCTGAGATCCGTCGGTCCTGGAACAATGGATTAAGGTCAAAGGTCTGAGTTTGGGGACGAGCGATTCTTTGCCGCGGGGATGTAAAGCGTGTCGGAGAATGCACGTGTTGCTGGTAATAAGCCATGGACATGTTGAGGCTGGGGATGCAGGCAGTGGTTTTTCTTTACGGTCATGATGTTTTTTTTTGGAGAAGAGAATATTTTAGGATGGTAACTGCTGTACGAAGATATGTGAAATCATAAGAATTGAATGAGAAAATTCACAGATTGATCAATATGGGAGTGTTTAGTAAAGGTTCTAAGAGTTTCTGGGGAGGGGAGATAATGTCAAAACTAACGTGTTATTTCATGATTAAATATGGAATAGGCAGCGGAGATTACATTTACAACATTAATGATCAGCTGTGCGTCCAAAATAATGAGAATGATTTTTATAAAAAAAATCGTTTTCTTAAACAAACATACAATTAGGCTTGATCACCATCGAAGTAAGTCCCATGGGACTGAACAGAGCGATTTCAGCGAAGCTGCTATTCTTCTGAGCAGTGAAAGATAGTCTTCACGTCAGAGGCTGCCTGTTCAGAGCCCTCATCGCGGAGGATTTTCCACCATGACAATGTTCCGAGTAACACAAAATTAGCCGTGAGGGAATTTTCAATAGAAAAAAATATCCTCCCTTTCCCACCCTCCCTATGGCCCTCAAAACCCACCAGAAAGAACACCAATTTCGGAGTGTTTAAAACGTCCAGTTTGTTGCGACGAGGGCTCTAAACAGACTCTCACACAAAGACGTTGTGTTCAGTCCCAAATGACTTACCTCTCGAAGGTGATCAGGCCTAATTATATACCTTTCAAGTAAAACGATTTCTTCTCAAAAATCATTACTTCTGGAACACGTACAAATACCACCAGAAGACGAAAAAAAAAAAAAAGAAGCCGAACATTGTCCAGAAAGCGAAACGATAAGAGAAATACACCGATAACCAGTATTACTTTGTGTACCGTTGCTCAAAAGCCCGGACGTGAAGCTCTGCGTCGGGTACAGTCCCGCGGAGAGGGTGGGCGGCACCGTCGTCGGCCCGGCACGTTGAAACGCCTGGCTGAAGTTCGGTCTGTACATCGCCGTGGGTGCACCGCCGCTGGCAACACCGTTTACGGCCGACGAGCTGACTATCGTCGCCTGGCTGGAAAAAAAGCAACCACCGAGATTCGTGTTAATGATAACATTAGCCAGCAACCAAGCATTTGATTTAGCTCCGCCCGTCGAGGTTCCGCCTACGGTTATCTCTCTTTCTCTCTCTTTCGCTCTCTATTTTGCCGTCGATTTTTCGTTCCAGTCGCGACCTTTGACCGGCTAAGGAGCTCGAGATGCGACTCGACGTTCTATCTTGCGACAGGCGCGAATGGTGTCGTTACACGGATTGAACGGTGAATGAGAGATCGGACAAGAGAATGAAAGAGAGAGGGGAGCGTGATTTTCGCGCCACGAACGGGGGCAACGATGATATCTTTGTGCGTTCGATTCTTGTTGGGACTTATCGGATTTTTGCGGTGGGACACGTTGATCTTTGCGTTCTTTAACCCTCGGGAGACGGTTGGTTTTCTTGTGAAATATAGGCGTAGCAAGGGGCGAGGTAGGGAGGTGCACTTGTCTACCATAAAGAAAAAACTGTGGCCTTTTTCCTACCCCTGAGGAAAAAAATTGCCTCCCACTCCCCCTCCTTGGAGAAGAAAAAAATAATATTAATTAATATTTCGTATGTAAAAATAAATCTCAAATCCATTTAAAGTAATATTACGAAATTTACCTCAAGATCAATTTTGCCCCACCTACCCCCTGGCTACGCCCATGTAATAGTAGAAATTTGGGGTAGTTAACGAGTGTTAAGCTTTGCGATAACCGTACTGTTTTAAAATCCTGAGATAGCAACGCAAACATTTTCATTGTTTTATGAAACACTTATTTTAATTAGTTAACCCTTTAGCTACTAATCGCCACTATAATAACTTCCCTCTGGGTGACGGTTTTTTAACGAAGGGCCATTATAGTGGCATATTTGTTTTCTTGCTTCTGAAGCCGTGTATACGGCTGCGTAGATTATGTGGAAATGTCTACGCTGTTTTTTTTTCCTTTTTACGACTCCCCGGTTAGTTTCACCGTAGCTAAATGGTTAATTATGGAGACATCCTGTGTATATTCGACTGGCTGAAGTTTCCGTCGTACTGACCTCATGAGACCCTTGTTATCCGCCGGGTTGAGCAGCTTCGACGCCGGTGCGAGTGACAGAGGTGTGGACGAGAGGGTGCTGCTCGGCAAGTTCGCCAAGCTGGTTAACGGCGCCAGGGACGTTAACGATGTCGGCGGAGTGTCCTCCCTCTTGCCCGGAAGTGATTTCACCGGTGTACTCGAGAAATGCTCCAAACTTGACCGGACGTCCGTTTGCTGGAACCAGAAACCGGCGATATTAGATTGTCTTAACGGTACCACAAAACACGTTTTCGATCGCAAAAATTCACGGTGGACGTAACTGGTGTGACGTCAACGGTTCGTTATCATTAAATACTATAATAAACAGACAAACAGAATTCTTCGTCCGAACTGTCGTGTAATACGTTTTATCGAATAATCGATTGAATCGTGTATTTATTATGATATGCTTCTTAATTCTACTGAAAATCCAATTCATCGGTTCTGTTCTGATATAATCGAATATTAAAGATCGACATGTTTTCGTAGCAAAATTAACGACGAATCGAACGAGAACGTTGGAATCGCAGTAGCAAGCATAGTCGGATCTATTCAGGTCTCAGTCAGGGCACGACTTTTGGTACGTTCGGGCAAATGGATCATAATCGTAACACATTTCGCTGCCTCCGCCGATTGGCTCGATCACGGGATCCCACTCGACTCCCCTCCATCGGTAGCACGCGCGAAACAATTATCTCACGCTCCGACGATTTTTTTCGCATTCTGACCTACATTCCCGCCATTGACGGATCTAGTATCGTCTTGGCGGTGTTCCTGGCGAAAACTCGCCGAGATTCACCGAAAACAAACGAAAACACATCCTATTCCAAGCGTTGACGAGCTCGATATAGAAGCACGTGGCCGTGGATCAACATCCCGTACCTGCTGAATCTGCGCGCGATCGTAGACCTGCTTGTGAACCACCCTTAGATTCTTCTTCCTCATCTTCATCCGACGTTCCACTTTCGTAATTTAATCAGATTCTCACATCGATATATTTTAAACAACTTAATTCAACGCATCTTTCTAATTACTTCGATCTATCACCGGTGAACATTCACTCCCAGCAAAACAGAACCGTCAACCACACTGGGCACACTCCAACAGTTCCCCAATCCGACCAGGTTAACCTTCGCGCCATCCGAGGATCTAAATCACCACTACACACGTGTCCAAACACTAAGTCCATCGATTCCCCAATCTGACCAAGTTATACTCCACACCATCCTAGGACTTAAATCACCAATAAAACACCATACGTATCCAAATCGAGTCCATCGACTTCCCAATCCTACTAGGTTATCCTCTAATATCCAAATCACCGAAAAAACACCACACACCTCTCCAATCAGAGTCCACCAACTCCTCAATCCGATCAAGTTATCCTCTAATGTCCAGATATCCAAAGCACAAACCACAACAAAAACAGAACCACCACACGTGTCCAAAACAAATGGTCCAATAAACGTGATCCCCTAACTCCAGCCAAAGAGGAATTGCCGTGGGGGGGGGGGGCTCCTAAGGCGTCGCGATCCTCTCCATCTCGCACCTGTTCCCGGTGTGTGTCTGTGTGTCCAAGTCCGACGTGCAGAGCAGAAAGAAACAACGTGTGGCCGTATCGCGCGGGAACGAAAGAAAGAAAGAGAAAGACAGATACAGCCCAGATGTGGCGGGCAGGGACGTTCAGGCGTGAGTAAGCTCCCGGGCGCCGCACGCGCTCCGAGAGCAAATTAATTCGTGGGACAGAGGGAGCGCAACGAAGCCACAGAGGCCCGGAAAGAAAAAGGAAGGAAGAAAATCGTGGAAAGAAAGACACACACGGGGGAAGGGTGGGTCAGCCAGCCGAAGGGGGACGCGCACCGTGGTTCAGAAACTGGATGAAGACAGGACGGGGGTAAGGAGCGGGACGGTCGACCAGTCAGCCCAGCTTAGCTTAGCTAGCTGGCGACGGCAGACCGTGCCGAGCACGGAGGAATGAAATCGTCAAGAAGCGGAGGAGAACGGATGTAGGGAGGTGTTTTTATGAAAGGCGAGCACAGTGTGCGTTGACGTCAATTATATAGGTGGCCAGGGCAAGATAGCCGCCGTCCATGTACGAACCCCGGTCTTCTCCTTAATGGGTTAGGTTTAGGTCGTCGGAGAGGTTATCGGTCCCGTCCGTCGTGTCCTCCCTCTCTTTCACTGTCTCTGTTAGTCAGTGAGCTCTGCCACACGGTGGATATCGTCTCGCTCCTCCCAGCTAGGGATTTTCAGTGTAGATAAGTCGAAACGAGAGACCAAGTTTCTAGCTTCTTGTCGTATGAACGACGGGGACAGAGGAAGTGAGGCAAAAGGGGGAGGCAGAGAGAGAGAGAGAGACAGAGAGGATGTGTGCACTATTCAAGAGGTCAGAGGAAGGATTAGGTGTGCGGCTACAAACACGGACCCTGGACGACTATGACTTTCTGCAACGCTGTGGCTTCGTGTTCAGCTTTGGAACACTCTCGGAAAACTCGACTACCCCATTGCTTTCCACCCCCCGAGATCAGGGAGGACGATCCTTGGGGGTGGGATGTATATCCGGAGGATATGCAACGGGTGGGATAGGGGGCCTGTTCCGTGGAACTTCTGTCGGATGACTAGCTTGTAACGTGGATGGGAGAAGGTTGAAGGCGGTATCGCTGCGCACCATCAGGGTTCACCGCGACCTGGATAGTTTGATACCGTGTGTTATTAGTGGAATGTGGATTTTATTTACAGTAGAAGCTTGGTAATCGAGGGTCCGTTAATCGATCGCTAGGAACGTCCATCGGTTACAAGTATTTCACTCACATACGTGCGCACATCCACAACATTCGATCTCAATGACCTGGTTTAATTTAATGAATGAAATAAAATGGAACGAATGAAACCAATCCGTGAAACAGTCGAAGAGCGCGCCTTTCAAGTAGATAAACCGGTCGCGTTCAAGTTTGTTGAAAATCAAATCCGTTATTATTAGAACACAAAATCAAATAGGACATATGATTCTATGAACCTTTTTTTTATTGCTTAGATGTGCTGAAGTCACCCCCAAAATGTGTCCCATTTATTCCGGGCCACTATTTCATTAATATGACGTAATTTCGACCATATTTCATTATTACTATTAATAAAATTTACCGATATTACATTCTATCAATACTATTAATAAATACAATTTGGTCTCGTTTTAATCGGAAGAATCTAACCAAAATATTCATAAAATCCACCGATATGTCAAAAACTGTTTACTTTAGACCCTCATATGATATAACGTTTTGTGCAGTATTCGATACTTTATGGAAATTCCAAGTAAGATGCCGGGCATTCCATTTAAATAAATCTTGATGTAAAATTCGAACATAGTAAAAATACATATCATTGTATTATATGTCCCCATCCTTACCGTGCAACGTTCGGTTAAAACCTTTTTTTCGTGGTCACGTTAGCTGAAACCGCAGCACGCGCGTAAACGTGGTCAGTGTGTGCGCGGCCGCGCATTGCATCAGAGAGTGGGAGAGGTGCGCGACCCCCTGGGGTTATCGCCGGTCTCTCTCTCTGTGTACCTATATCAATCCTAGCTCGGTTTCACGTATCGCTTTGAAGCGTTGCGCAGGAACCGCCGCGCGTTGCCTCGGATTTCTACGCGTGATTATTCCACGATTTTTATGAAAAAGGAAAAAAAGAAGAGAAAAAGTCTTTATCGGGGGCGGGGCGGAGAGGGGGGGCGTTGCGCCACGAGCTCTCGATCGCACCGCAGAACCGTCGATCTTCGGACGCGGAATTTTTGAACCGCCATTTCTTCCCTCCACTTCTCCTGTCAGTATCGGTTCTTTCGGTTTACATTTTGTTAAAATTCCTTCGAGTTTATGCCAGTTCATCGGTCTGTATTAATCGATCGAGTGACGATTAGCTTCTAAACGGAACACGAATGATTAAAAATTTTATATTATTATTTATATTATCGATTATTATGTTAGAAGCTAATCGTCTTTTTAAATTTGTAATCGTTCAAAATTTTGAATCGTAATCGTAAATTTTAAAAAGGGGATGTGAAATTTTGTTCTCTGTCGATTTGTCTGTGTCTCACGATTGCGTATTGAATCACCGTGTATAGAGAGTACGACAGGATAGAATTAGTTAACAGAAGTCAGAGAAATCGGTTGTAAGATCTGACCCTGATGTGTACCTGTTCAGGTGAATGTTACACGTCGATACTTTGTGAATGTAACGTCGATATCTTCGTGATTGGAAATACTCTTGGATTTTATATCGAGTCACGGGATCTCGAATCTAGGTTAGGTGTGGACATCGATAATACATAATTGATCTCTGTTTCATAATTGTGCCAGTGACCGCGAAAATCGATGTCACTTTTCCCAAAACCATTTGTAATTATCCATTACACTCGCGCACCGGTACCAGTAATTTCAAATTCGTCTGGAATTCTTTTTCTAAATACCTTCAACCTTCTCGACACTTAGCGCAGAAATCACGCACACATACCTTCCGATAAATGATAATTACACTAAAACAATGAGCGGTGAACACACACACGATGCACTCGCGAGTAAATGGCACCAAGAGACGTGCACGCAACGCAGAAAGAATGGTTCACGCGAAGGAACAAGAGAACCAGAGAAAGAGAAAGATAGCACTCACATCTGCCTCTCTTCGTAACTAATTTTACTCACCGTTGCGGCCGGAAGAGTTGGCATAGGCTGTGACACGGGCTCCAGACCGACTCTCATGCGTTTCGCGTTGTCGCTCTCATTTTCGCAGGCGGTTGCCAAAATTTGCTCGGCCTGCACGGAGGTCAAGTGTGCCGGAGTGGGCCTCGCCTAAAAAGAAATTCACGGCGTCACGTGATCGTCGCATACCGAGAGAGATAGATAGATAGATAGATAGAGAGAGAGAGATGGAGAGAAAGATCTCGGACCTGACTCAGAGCCACGGAATTCTTGGGGCGTTTTGCGCGGGGTGACCTTTCGCGGCTCGGTGAATATAGTACGGTTCTGAACAGAAACACGGATCCCTAGGTATTCTTTTAACGACACCATTTAGGCGCATCGATCAATGGCTATGTAGACTTTCCTAACAGGATTCCCCCCTCCTCGTTTGTGAATTTCAATTTAAATTAAACGACCGAAACGAAATTTTTCTTAAACCCTTTCGTTCCCACTGCAGTCATATGGCTATGTGTTATGAATTACGAAATAAAATACTAGTGTCGTGTATTTTTTTTTATATTTATGAGGAATTCATAGTTTTTCTGGTATCGTATATAGATAGTAAATTTTAATTACGGATTTAGAAGCTTTAGCCAATTGGCACAATGTACAACTCCGTAAAACGACGAGACAATTGCGTAGAAAAGGTAAAGGGGAAGAAAGGGGGGGTGGAAAGCAAAATGTTCTACTCACCGCGTCCCATGGCGCTCCCTCCCTTCCCCGTTTGTTCCTCCGACAGCTCTTCAGGTACGTTCTGATCCTCTTCCTGGCCCTCTCCGCGAACTCCGGGAACTGTCTGGTGCAGCTGTCGATGATCGCCTGTATCTTTTCCTTCGGCTGCTTCGAGATCGGCACGATTCGGTCGAGATTCTCGTCGACGAACAGTCTGACGAACATCTGTAAAAAAACGAATCAGGGGGGAATCGATTAAAACCGAGAGGCCCTGTAACCAATTCGCCGCACGGGAGAAAGAGTAGGAGGTATTAAGAAAACCTTTGATGGTTGGGGCATGTGTCGAATTAATTGCAATTAACACGTTGACTGTTAGAATGGAAAAAATCCGCAAGTAAATCAGACACACCTTATTTCCTTTATTAAGTCACAAATCGTCGAAAATATATACAGGGTGTTCCGCTTAAATCAGGCCGCCTAAATGTCTTCTCTATCTGTGATCATACGAGAAATATTTATTTCGTAATTTAAATGGTTTCAAGAGACGAATCGGATGGCGTCAAAAATTTGTTATAAATGTCATTTTTTAAGCATCATTTTTCCTGTTGTAAGTTAGACTTTGAACTCTAAAAATTTTAAATATTATAAAACTTGTATAATTTTTTGCACCATCTGATTCGTCTCTTGAAACCATTTAAATTATGTAAGCAATATTTCTCGTATGAATACAAATAGAGAAGATGTTTAGGTAATTTGTTTTAAGCGGAACACCCTGTATATGCGTTAAGTTAACAGAGGTTGTTGGTCTTGGTTTTAAATTATACCACGATTATTAGTTTTACAATCTTTAAAATTAAAAAAAAAAAATCTTTGGACAAGATATCCAAGAAGATGCAACGAGTTGGTTAAATAATACAGCCAGCCTGTGCAATGTATGTACATGTGACCAACGTGTTAAATAAAAGAAGATCTTCGCTGCTCTGGCCCCACGCACACGGCTATCAGCGTGTGGCCCCCATATTGGATTTTCAAGTTCTGGAACTTCCATAAAATTTTACGATAATTGGAGGCTTTTTCGGGGGGAGGGGGGGGGGGAAGTCCGAGGTGCCAGTCTGAAACTCCATCGGATGATTTCCTTTCGCCCCTCCACTTATCCCCCATTTTCCCCTTTCAGGTTCTCTCCTTCACGTCGGGAACAAGGTATATATACCCGACACACCATCGGCTTTTTACGCGGCTACCGACACGGTAATGGCGCGCGCAATAAACTCACCATTTCCGGTTTAGTGCGGCCCCGTCGCGGCGGCGGAAGGAAACTGCAAGACCGGACGGACGGGACACGGTTTCAGGTGTGGAGAGACTGTTCATCGCGGGTAATTAAATGGAAGGTAATTGGCAGTAAACGGTATACAATACGGGGAAGACAGGCTCCGTTCGGTTTCGAGGCTTTTTGTCGGTGTTTCTCCGTTGGTGGCGACAGGGGGAGGAGGGGAATGTGGTTGCCTATCGGTAGGTAACTGGGAGAGAGTAAGTTTGAATGTCTGGGGATTTTTAGCAGCGATGGTACAACGGTTGGTTTAAAAGGCAAGAGTAGATTCTGTGTCAGGAGGACGACGCGATAAAATTTCGGTTAAGTCTGAAGACAGCGTAAAATAAATACCAACGAATATTCTCCCAATCGGCATAAATAGACTATGGAATTTTATACAAAATGCCACTTTCATAAAGTGATCCATTAAAATTAATTTGTCGTTCAGAAAATTTTAATTATGTTACAACTTACCCCGTGTTACAAACTGCCACGATCTCCCCTACTACACCGAAGATAAAAATTAAAAAAAACATCTGCCGCGAGGATTACGTAAATGCGAGAGGGAGACTCACGTTGAAAGCCTTCAGACGCTCCGGGTCATGATGTCTGGGGTCCAGCCTCTCGTCGGCATCCTCGTCGTCGTCGTCCTCGTCCTCTTTATTCCCGCTGCTGCTGGTCTCGTCGTGAGCGCTGCCCGTCCCCTCGCCCCCCGGCGGACTGGACTCGCGATCGCGATCCGATCGCGACGGAGTACCGGACGAACCGGGCGGCGGCGTCTTCTTCAGTCCCATCGTGTACGACGCCCACAACGACGCCATGTCCTCGCCACCGACGCCCGCCACCGTGCCCAGATTCGGTACCGTGCCCGTAGGCATGTCCACCATGTCCGACGAGCCGTTTCGCGAGTCTGAAAACAAAGGAGAAACGTGGATTGATCACCGGTTGACACGAAAAATGCTGCAAGAAAACCGAGAATCTGTTTCATTTCTGGTTATTTTTTTCTAGTAAAATTTTAGGTTAGAAAGGAGGTTGAAAAGGTTCTAGACATAACTGTTTCAAATTGTGATACAGGGTTTTAACGAAAGTATTGTAGGTCCCTGATATGGGTTACTTGTGAGGTGATTTGGAACAAGTTTTTCCTTAGCAACAATGTTATCCGAGGCTCTGTTAACGAGATATTAGCGGAAAGTCGCGATCAATCAGAGCGCGAGTCTGTCGGACGAGCTGTAGAATGGGATTTTTGAAAAAGTGGACTTAATACACTCTGGGGTGGAGAAATACGTTGGTGATTTATTCTAATAATGATTTTATTTGAAACCAACCGTTTCTATTTCAATCGTCAATTATTAAGATTTCAATGCTCGACGTCAAGTTCCGAAATTTCTGTTGGCAATAAAAAAAGCTTTCGACAATCGTGAACAGACAAAGCTCTAAACGTTTAGAACACGCTCTTTTTTACCAGAATAATTCCCGTCACCGTGGATCACGTACCCTCGAAACCATGAAACCGAACGACCCATTTCGTATTTGCATCAACGCGGCCCGACCGAGTTCCGTAACTCGTACATTACATCGTAAAGTTTTTCCGCGTCCACGACGCGCGGGCGTCTGTCAACTTGTTGCGCCTGCCCGCGAAGACAATTCAAACAACCTACCCCTCCCACCGTCGGCTGTTCGTGAAACTTGCTCGCGACTGTGCGACCCCTCGAACTCGCGCCTCGGAATGGTAACGCATAAATAAATCGATTGGACGATGTTCGATCACTGATACCCTGACAAAAAGTTAATAATGATGTTTCGATTGGTCACCCGTGATTGAATTATATCGAAGGATTTTTAAGTACCTTAGAAATTTATAATATATTATAATCGCGTCGATCATTTCTCTATGCGGGCACAAGTATTTATTATATTGTGATAATGAATAAATTGTAGATTTCATGCATTTATGACATACACGATTGTTTGTGTTGCTCGAAATATTTCGAGGATATTACCGAACTGTCGAAGAAACTTTTTACAATTCTTTTAACAAAGAATAATAATAATTAATTTTTCGGTGCAGCTCCCGACCACTAGCGCGATTGTGGAGTACTAATGTGTTAACGTCCTCGAAACTAGGATCGATAAGTGTGGTCCTGAACGCAGAGACCCCACATTATTAGCGCGGGTATGTGCGATGTCTCTTAGGGAACGTATCCTTTCCGGCCGCGCGAAAAGGCCGACCTGTTTCCAAAACCTGTAATAAGTCTAAGTAGATCCCTTCCACGAGAGGTGCAAGAAAAAGGCACGCGCTGCTCCATCGTCACGATCCCAAGAGAGAGGGACAGAGAGAAAGAGAGAATGTACGGCAAAGGTGCTTTCACGGGGATATCGGCGAGGACAGGTAACAAGTCCGACCGGGCAAGAGGCTACCCGTGAACCCGAGTGCTGCGGATCGTGGGTAGGGAGTGCCGCAGGGGAACACCGTAAAGAGGCTACTCACAGGCTTTTGCCTCCTTCGAGGCGAGATTAGAAAAGACGTACCCACGAATCACCGTCGGGTTTCTCGGTTGAAAAAAGGGAGGATTACTGTGTGTAATTTAGAAGAAACATGCTAATGGATATGTGGATTTATCGCCCCCCCCCCCCCCAAAAGTACATAGTGAGATTGGGTACTTCAAATGGGAAGGAATGTCGAGTTGAGGAACATTTGTTTATTCTTTTGGAATTCGTTTCGATCGAGGACACCTTATAGCTAAACGTTGTTGTAATATTGTACAAATTCGATAATCATTCGATAAAATCTGACGAAAGATCGTTCTTTATTAGAGACTGGTGTATACGTTGTTTTCTAGGTTTGTGCAGAGGTAATTGTTTGGTTGAGAATGTCGAGGAATGTGTGATAGATCTGCGAGAAAGAAGGTAAAAGAATCATGTATTTATACAAGGTGGCTTAGGGGACTAGCATAACTACGTACGAATACATTAAGAGGATCGAGTCATACTATCCGACGAGTGTATAATATTCATATCCACAAATTTCCTAAATATTTAGAACTGAAACTGAGGGCAAAAATCTCCTGCTTTTCGATGCCTTTCCCAATTAAAAGTCAAATCGAAGGAACCACGAAGTACAATGTCACGAAAATTTCACGAGAGCCCATCGAATTGTCTCATCGCCGCCGAAGAAATCGCTGGCGAACGGTTTTAAATCGCCAACCGAGGGAAGCCAACAGGCGAGAATCCTTGCGAGGCCGTATAGTAGAAAGCCAGGCGCCGCTGGTGCCGGCACGATCGGCCACCCCGCGTCGCCGATTCTAATTCTGCGTTCAACGATCGGGACACACACCGCTTCCAGGAAGATTCCGGTAGAACCAGTAACTGAACGCCGCGTGTAGACGACCCAGGAAACTGGACCCTCCGTCCATGAGGCGGCCCAGCACCGGCTCTCCTTCTCCTCCTCCCCCCTCCCGCCACCCTAGCTCACGAGGTTGCTGCACCTTGGTTCTTGCGCTTGTACACTCGGTTCAAACAATTCGTGGGGTACGGGGAGAACGCGACCGGGCGGCTCCCACTACTCTTGTCCATGGTCAGGGAAAGGATCTTTCGGCTCGAACAGCTATATTAAACGAGTATCCTCAAGTATAGGAACCGATCACGGGAAATCTTCGAGTGTTTCGATAATTGGTCCTCGTGTGTACACGACGACAATTCTGTCCAAGGTCGGATGAACATGGGTGATTGTAACGTAGATTACTAGGGTAATCAAGATCACGTTTTTTAGACCATTTAGCTACCAGGACTCAGCTACGGTGAATAAAGCCTGGTCAATCGTCCTGACGTCCAAAGACTGGGTAACGAAGATTAGTCTACAGAACCATAAGTAACGGAAACTCTGTCGAAGGTCAAATGAACATCGAAGATTCTAACGAACATAGGTTGAACCATAAACATCGTGTCTTTTAGACCATTTAGCTACCAGGACTCAACTACGGTGAATAAAGCCTGGTCAATCATTCTCACGTTCAAAGACTGGGTAACGAAGACTAGTTTACAGAACCATAGGTAACGGACATTCTGTCGAAGGTCAAATGAACATCGAAGATTCTAACGAAGATCGGTTGAACCATCGACATCGCGCCTTTTATACCATTTAGCTACCAGGCCTTAGCTACAGTGAATAAACCCTGGTCAATCATTCTCACGTTCAAAGACAGGGCAATAAAGCCTTAGTCTACAGAATCACGAGTAACGAAGAGCCTTGGTGCTTGAAAATCGTCGTCACTTGCTATTCGTGCCCACCAAGTATATACACACGCGCGGCTAGCAGGAGCGCATGGGGTACGGTACCTACGCGCGGCGAGGGTTCCTGGCCTCCAGCGAGCGGATGCCAGCATTGCAAAAGCGGCACAGGGGGGACCGTGGTAAGAGGGGTGGTGGAGGGGACAGAAGGGAAGAGAGATACGCGCAAACCCGGCTAGGTCGGCTAGAAAGCCGGTTACCAAACCCAATCCCACCAGGCATCGTTCCTGAACTCAGTGCGGACACGGCCTGAACCTGAAATCAGTCCCCAGCGGGCAGCTTGGCTACCCCACCCGGCAGTTCGTCCTCCTCATTCTTTCAACCGCTTCCCGCAAAAGGAAACTAATACCCGGCCCCGGCGACGACTTCCTCTTTTTACTAGCCTACGCGCACCTCTATATGCACGGCCGTGCAACGAAAATTCACGGACTACGGAGTGCTGGCGCGCGGCTCACGCCCACGGATCACCGCAAATGTTCCCTCCCTTCCTTCCCGCATTCCCCTCCACCACCCAGGCCGCTGTAACCACCGTCGAGAGATGCTGTCTGGAACGGGAATGTTTTATTATCCACGTCGGTGGAACGTTACACGGCTGGTCTTGGTGGTGGTTCTTGGGGATCCAGATAGGAATTCGGAAGTCCTTGGAACGACGAGATCCCCCCTTTCCCTGGTCGTTGTCACGGCGTTTCGTGGGATTTGTTTAGGGGTTTCTCTGGACGTTGCGATAGAAGGGTATGTTTGGGGGTGAAAGGTCTCCCAGGTGTAGATACTAGCTAGGGAAGGACCTGAACTGTTCGACTTCGATTTTAACAGGGGTTTTGTAAGATGATAGTATACATATAGGTTCTTAATGATATATGTATGTGGAGTCTTTGGTGTAGACTCTGGATAATTTTGAAGGTATGAAGTATCATATATTGTTATTATTTGAAGGTATGAAGTATTATATATGTTACGAATATACGTGGAAATATTCCAAGGAGAAAAGACAAACCGTTCAGTGACCCTAACCGACGCGGTAAAATTTGGATGTTCGTTGAACGAAAACATTTCTGAACCGTTTCGAAATTTCGACGTTTCCCCGTTTTGCGACACGTCACGACGTTGTTAATCGCCTCGTGGATCTGCGTGTCACACGTTTCGATATTAAGGAATTTCTTCGGTTGTCGTTACATAACAGAAACCACGATATGCAACCGTGAGATGATTCACTGTCATAGGATGGTTATCAAGATTCTACCCTGTTATCCGAAAATCGCTTGCATATATACACGGGAGAAAACGAAAGTATCCCCGTTGGCGAGCAAGCTGACAACCATACGAGAAGAATCCTTCTCGGAGATACGGATTCACTTCGCAACAGACGTTCGCCTCTCTCGCGTCGCTTTCGCAAATGTCACCGGCCATTAAAGCTGTAGATTCGTTATCGGGAGCCGTTCACGGAACCAGGTGAGATTTGGAATTTCGATATTAAACGCGCGACAGCTCGAGCTGGAAAACCGTGGTGTTGGTTTCATCCACGCGAAAATAAAAAGACATGGAAAACCTGGAATCAGTTCGTGGATAGGTTCTCCACTGGAGAAACAATTTGATCTTTTGTTACAAATATCAGATATCGTAATCGTAGCACCTGGTCAAATTAGAAACTTCGAAATACTTAATTACCAGTTGAAAATTTACTAGAATATTGAATATAATGAAATCTAGTGAGATTTCTCCTACCCTAGTTAGCTTAGATTTAGCTACCCCGTTATATGTATGAATAAACTGTGTTCCATTCGATTGTGTTAGCAATCTGAGCAGTTTTCTATGAGCGAATAAAAATAACGCAAGCAAATCATTTTTGTTACGTACTATCGGCTTCGCGGATCGCTCGAATGAAGCATCTGCCATACGGTGTATACTATGTACGTGTTCTCTTTGGTAAACATCGCTGGCGAAAGATTCTTTACCGTTAAGCCGCATCACGGGCATGTAAGGGGGCCTATTAACTGATTAAAAATCTAGATAACTGTACGATGACGGGACGTGGATTTATATTCCGTTGCCTCGGTGAAATTGTTTCCTACGTGACGGTAGGAAAGGAATACGTGATCCTGGAAGAATATTTATCTGTTAATAACATCGAACAGAAAAACTGATCATTGACGTCTTTATATAATTCTATGAAAGAATGAATGGGATTACGAGTCACGATTAAATGTAATGTGTTTGTTATTAACGTAATGAAGCATCTAGTGTAGAATTTAAAATTTTGTCCCACTTTCATTTTTAGAATACTAGTATTCAAAATTGTAAATTTGCATAAACTTCCGCAGTCTAATCATCACGTTACCACGATTCACAGGCTACCCGGTGCTATAAGGCTGGCTATCGATCATCTCCTAAAGCAATGAACGAGAAAAATCCACAGTCACTTCGTCCTAAACAATCATCTCTCAGGTGGCCGAAAGCGTCAAGACCAAAAAGGGAAAGTAAAGCTCCTCCCCATCGTCAACGACATGACATTTTCCCATTTTCCATTAACGCCGAAACCTCCCCCTTCGCGGAACAACGTCCAAGTATAATACTCCAAGAAAGCAAACCCTCAACCACCAACCATCCGTGGAACGTTTCAATTAACGGGGTGGGTCCGAATTGGACATAAAGAGACACCAGAGTGAGAAATACGCCATTCGTCGCCATTTTCCCGGATGTTCATGCGTGGGGAGATTTTTTCGAACATTTTATTTCAACTAGTAATCTCATATTTTTTCTTCTAGTTCATATAAGTGACCCAAAAGTTTCAAGACTCTCTGATAAAAAGGATCCCGAGCTCGTAGGACCAGGACTCCCTTAAAAAAAGGATTTCAATAGGCAGAGCAAAAAATCCGTCGTCATTTTATCGACAAAATTTCTACTGTGAACCGTTTACTCGTTTATTGTGGACTCGATTTGCGAAACGCTCGCCACGAAGTCCCATGTCGGACGCGAAATCCTTGTTGGTCATCGTCGTCGCCTCTAGGGGAGGGAATGGTGGGCAGGTGAGATAGAGAGATAGAGGGGAAAGGTGGACGAGGGGACCAAGAGGATCTTCTGGTCTGGTTGTACCGCGTACCATCGCGTCTTCGCCGGCTGGTTCATTACGCAATGACCACATCTGAGATGTGGAGGCCCGCTTCGAAACCAGTTTTCGTATATAGCTGCCGCTAAGGAAGATCGGTGGAAAGGTGGGGTGGGGAGGACAGAGGGCAACGGTGAATTATCCTTCCGCAACCTCGGTTAACTGAACCACTTTTGGATCTTCAGACTGGGAAAAGAAAAGGAGACAGGAGTGGCTCAAGTTTCTTGATCAGAGTAATTCGGTGAATTGAGACGTTGTACGAACGAAATTTTTCTATAGATGAATCATTCGAGCGAACGATGTGGAATTGAAAACGAAAGGTTTGTTCAATTTGGACTGATTAAGAAACAGGATCGTAATGTCGATAACTAGAAAATCTAAACAGTAAATCACATCGTCTGGCAATACAAGCTCTACGACCTCAAATGGTCAACACTAATCGAAAAGTTGCTAATAATAAAACTACAGCTGTCCCTTAACAATTCTCTAACAATAATATTACAGCGTGTCTGTGTGTCCACTCTTCCTTAAAAGACTGCAAACTAAATGTTTAGAAACATAGGTAGACGCGAGTGGTGTGTATACAAGTATAATATAATATATAATTTATGACTCAATGTATATAATCACTGCATATTAAATATTTGCATAAGCCCAGGTAAGTAAGGATAAACTTCTATCGAGGTTTCAAACGTTTAATGAAAAACGGAGAAAAGAACAGTGACACATTTCCAAGTGTCCGGTATCCGATTTAAATGTTTCTTACACGAACGGAAATAAATCGCCTACACAAACGATCAGAAAGGCAACTAGACTGCTCTGCAAATAATTTTGATAACCTTGTTGTTTGAAATTTTGCATTCTAAGTGCATTCTCTTTAAATGTCTTTTCATTACTTTTCATTATAGAAAATGTAAAAGATTGAGAATTTCATTCGTAAAAAGTTGAATTACATTTCCAAAGGGTTCGAATTTCATCTGCAAAATGTTGAACATATGATTTGCAAAAAGTTGAATTCGGAGTACCGAAAAAAAAAAACTGTAAAACGCAGGGCCGTTAAACGATCGCGATTAACACCGTGGCCAATTAACGCGACGGCGAATCGTGTTACCGTATTGGCTGCGTTTCTCGTTCGGGTCTCGAGGGCCAAAGAAGGCGTGTGTATATGTACGTTGAATTTCCTACGCGGAGCAACACGTCACGCGGGCCCGACAGTGTCCATTAGTCACGTTGAGCGCGACGACAAAACTCACGGCGAGCTAAATACCCGGTACACCTTGGCCCCGCGATACCTGCAATTCACCCGTCTCGCTCCGGAGAAGGACGCGAAAGTTGAGCATTGAAGTCTCCGGGAGCGCCTCTGCGCCACGCCGAGCAGGAGCGCCTTTTCCATTTGGATGGCTCGATAGGATTTTGTTGGTGAGGATCATCCGCAGACGACGACAATCCTCATCCATCGGATATTCCGTTCCTTTTAACCATTTCGTTCCCACAGTAGCCATATAGCTACATATTAGAAATTACGAATTTGATGAAAGATTGTCAATATAAATTTGGTGATTTTTTAAACTCCATTTTCTTGAAATTTGAGAACGAATATGTATGAATACTTTATTTTATATGTATTAAAGCAGTAGATACTACCAAGGGGGTTTCGTTTTCAAGAAAATCGCTTTCAAGGAGTACCTAAATCCTTGTCTTCCGATACTACCTGGCTGAGAAAAGCTATTATAATTATTGTTCACTGGTATCTACTACTATTTAATAACCACTACCTACAAATGCCCACGAAATACAATTAACCCCTTGGGCAAACTCAACAAGCGGAACTAAAGTAACGACCAAACGTCGTCGGGAAGACTATGTTAACCGCAAAATACCGTAGCATCTAATACCAACAGAAAAGAAAAACGAAAGAAAACAGTTACCAACGACAAACCACCATGACCGAAGGAGAAGAGGGGCTATTAACTCCTCTATTCATGCCAGTAAACGGTAAGTATAAAACACGCGAAACACTCCTTACGTTAGCATGGCAACGGGATTAATAAATAACCAACGTGATTTCCCTCCCCCAGAGACACCGGAGACAGGCACATTCGAAATGACTTTGCAAATATAATTCATATAATATTCCGAACACTCTTGCCTGTATTAAATATGCAAGATGTTCAGTGAATCGTACTAAAAATCAAAATACTACTGTAAAATTTCTTTACACAAGATTTCAATTTTCAAGAAAACTAACCTCGAGAATTTTGTAACAGTAATACACTCGCATGTACACCAGTTAACTCCACCATTTTATCCAATAATAACAATTCATGTGACTGGGGGTGGTCCAGCCAATTCGATTTGTCGACAACTTACGATCTCTGCACAGTACACTACGCGATTAAAATTTCGCATTTCCCTAAGAACGAAAGATCACACAATTGCCAAGGTGCTGGTCAATCGAATGCTCGTCCAAACAATACACGTGTTCCGTCCGTCCCATGACTAACAAGGTTAAAAGAAAAATCGTAACCAATGGTTTCAAACTGATCGTCCCTACCCCCAGAAGGCCGTATCGAACCACCCCTGCGGCCAAGATCGTTTGTCTTAAAATGGTTCCGAACAAAACGAATGCTCGTCGAGAGGTAAATTCCGTTCGCGTCCCGTGGCTAGAGCGTTCGATGAATTAAGGCTGGTTACCTGTAAGTGTGGAGTTGTTAATGGTGTTGTTTGCCGTGGATATGGCCGTTTGGCTGGTGACAGGTGTGCCAACGGTGGTGGCGGTGGTTGTCGAGGAGTTATTTGGCGAGAGGGCCGCGTTCGCGGCCTGCGCCTGTACCTGGTCCTGGGCCTGAGCCTGAGCCTGAGCCTGATGTTGAAGATTATAATTCCACGCGAGCAGCATCAGCTTCAGCTTATCCGCGTCTTTCATGAGCGCGCCTGCCGAAATGAAAAGTAGCCAATTGGTCTCAGGGGATGAATGATATTTAAAAAAAAGAAAAGAAAAAAAAACGGGCGTACGACGAACGGATTCGACGAGATTGAAGGATCGGGGACGGATTGACGATCCGATCAGGCGAAACGGATACGGTGATGCTGGTACGATCATTGGATTGTGGGGTATTTCTCGATTGAAATGATACTCTACCGCCTGGTCACGTGATAATTGATCATTCGATTGAGATATATCGATGGGATTCGGATTATTATACTGTCTATTACTTTCATTTTTTCTCTCTCACTGCTGGTTTCGGTTAGTTACTGGGAATGGATCGAGAAGTTTTGGGCGGAAGATGATTCGAGGCGGATTTCGTATATCAACGGGGAGATTTTGGTTTGATACGGGGAAACACCTGGAACAGGGGTTAAACTTTGTGTTATAGGTGTGCGTATGTGTAGTTTTGTGTGATCAGAGTTGTGGAATTTTTGAATGTGGATATGTGCGTGTGTAATGTTTTCGTATGAAATCTCGCCAATCTATTTTATGTTACACCGTAAACAGTACGCAACGAAGTTCTGCTGACGCAGAATCGGTTAAGGATACAAGAATTTCGATTTCCGAAATATGTATATTACAAGTTATGAAAAGGAACTTTGACAGAAACACGTAACGTATCTTATCTCATGCATGTGGTTCACCCGATTGATCGACGTCTCCTGTCTTCAAACAGACCACAGTTCGACAAGCGCAACAGGTCCTGGGGGGGCTAACGAAATTCGAAGAGTTCGTCGAGAATTTCCGAGCTCGATCGCGTGTGAAGAATTATGTTACAGGTCCGTCACGATTATCGTCCTGGACTCGGGTCCATAATCTTATAGGGAGGAATGCTTCAGACCCTCGTGAATTCGATTTTTGCCCGAAGTCCGAGCTCGGCAACAGAAGCGGAGGGGCAACAAAGTATGCGCTTGACAGGTCTCACGCACCCCTCCGCCCAAAAGTAGTGGTGGGTATAACGCCTGGACAATAATCGTGTAGAATAAGCCAGACGATAATCGAGAGGTGTCTGTAATAGTTCCTCTGCATGCAAATAATATCGATAATAATTATTCCAGGATCAATAACGTCTAGGAGACGTCTACATCGATCGATAACCTTGTAAAATTCAGTACGATCTATTTTGGCAGAATCGTCGAGGACGTACCATTCTGAACAGTTTCCTTGAAAACGAAGCCAGCACACGACCGACGAAGTTTGATTTAATGGTTCGTCTTAAACCGAATCGTCACCTTTCCGGTTCTAGAGCCAGTTACAACACACCTTGGCACTTCCGCTAGCGAACCGACCCATCCAGATGCACTTTTGCAGCGAAGAAAATTGGAAGACGAAAAGTGTTGCGTAAAGGAAACGGCACAGGTGGGGCGTGGTAAACGTAGGTGGCGCCCCGAGTGCGACAGCGAGTCACTCGAGTGTCAATTAAAACCTCACGCCCGATGGGTACACGACCCCCCATCCCTATTGTGCACGCACTCGATCATCGATCTCGTTATGTCTCGTACACGAGCAAAGATCACCTCCCTTGTGTGCGTGTGTTTTTTTTTCGCCTGCAGAGCAATAGCGACACGGGCTGGTTTAACGAAGAAATTCATTACGACGTGACAATGAAATTGCTTCTAATCCCGTGAAAAATATCAGGTGATTGCTGTCTTATTTTTTATTTATACTGATTAATAATTACAGACTTTTAATATCTTTGTATTGCTAAAATAACTTTACGTATAAAACGAAAACACAGTTGAAAAGAACGATCCCTTACGATTCAAATGAAAGAAAAATGAAATTCGTATCTTTAACAATTGCGGAGTCTGTATCTTTTAAACAACTTCGAGACCAGCGAAACGATGACTTAAACAACCCCGTATTTTTAATGAAGAATTGAAGTGAAGAGAAACAATTTTTGGGCAAGAGTATCATATAAATATTTTCAAATAAATTTCTCTTGTAATTACACTGCGAATGGTTTATGCGTATATGATAATGATGTACACGCAAATTTTTTTTGTCAATGTTAACGAAATCAAGATTTCACGAAAGTTCAAAGCTACATACGAAATCGATAGGAAGGAGGGCACGATGGCGGCGCGATGATCCTCGGCTGATTAATCAGTCGATTCTCGGAACGGCGCGGTGGCAACGTCATCGTGCAAAAGGCGCGAGTGCATCTCGCTCTTTTATGTAAGAGGCCGCGGTAACGAGATTACGAGGTTGAAGTGTCGGTGCATGTTAATAAATACATTGGTCATTCGTAACACGGATGGCGGCCAGGTCGATTCTATGAATGTTATTCACGAATACGTTGCCCATCGACCCACCGATATTATATTTTTCGTTAAATTTCCCTTTTCCCTGTATATCGTAACAAGAATTAATAACTTTCCAGGTACTTTCTCCTAGTATATTCGTCTTCACAGATATCAGTTTTATGATTGAATTATGTTTCAATATCTTCCAATCTAAAATTTTACAAACTCTACAATTTCACTCTTGTAATTATTTACAACTCAACTAACAGACAAAGCAATGTATCACTTCACTATAAGTCGAACAACAAAAGAATTCGATAACAAATTGTGAACAGTGTAATTAATACCGATAGAGTGTATCCTTCAACCAACATTAAAATAATATTCAGATCCACCATCTAATAAAATTTTTCATTATACACCTTCCTCGATTCCCATTGATACTATTTAAATACCGCGCGTGATACACGTAAACGAAAGTGTATCCTTGAATAAAAACGAACACATGGACCCACGCATTTCATAACGCAATAACTCCACCACAGAAATCATTCAAATATTTAAACAACGCCGGGGATCAGGGTAACACATTCCCATCGAACAGGTCAAGACCATCTTCCTCTATCTACTTCCAACAATATTCCCACATTACATTACCGGCCAAAACTATGGAACCAGAGCTCACGATTAATGGAACAGTAAAAATCATTTCCTAACGGTTTCAGCACATTACTTTGATCACATCATCATAGAATAACATTTTCCTCTTTTTTCAATCATCAGACCTGAACCCATACATTGAGCCGATAGTGTATCTCATCGAAACCGGACCAAAAAAGAAATTCACAAACGATTTCCTTTCGAAAAGGAAACGTTAAAAGGAGTTATACGTCGATAAGTTTGAAAGTCCAAATTGATACGGTTCGTTAGACACGTCCACGTTTGCGAAAGGGGTCAAAAAATCCTGGATCACGAGCAGAATTCTCTCTCGGTTGGTGCCGTCTGTCACACCTGAATGAGACGAATCAACGCGGGTACCGACACCTGGTTAAGTCCGTCACGGGCTGGTGATCGATATTATACACCCTCCGTCGCCCCCGTCACGGTGTCCCGACGTAAAAACTCAGCCCATCGTGTGATCGGCCTGAGTATCTCGTCGCTCTCCAGATTTCCCTCCGGTTGCAGCGTTGATTCGTTCGAGCGGCAGAATTAGCTAGTGACACGTAGAAGAGCACTCGGGCCGCGCGCGACGGAACGAAAGCGGAGAGAGACAGAGATAAAGAGAAAGACAGAGAGAGAGAGAAAGAGAGGGAGAGAGTAGAGGACGAGAGATTTATTAGCAACCGGATAAAGTTGGCGGATGACGGGAGCGGCGGTGTGACGTCTGAATCATTCAGCCGGCTCAATAATGCAGAAACGCGACGCCGCCGTTCGATTTGGGTCAGATTCCCGAAACGGCCGCGCGACCTGACCCCATCCAAAGGACAACGAACAGTGGACTGGAATAGGGACGGGAATGATGGACCGAGAGTACAGAGCCGTTTCGAGAGGGTAGCTAGAGACGAATTCAGACTATACAGTAAATCCTCGATGAGTGCTCAAAAGCTCCTCGACACTGAGCAATAAATATTTCATTAACACGGTGACTGCCAACTACGAGATAACTTGTAGTTGAAACATTGCAAACAGGCTGGATTATTTAAATATTGTTACAATACTTTTCTGTAAAATTAATACCACAGTACAATTTAAAACAAGACAATCTACCTCTATTGACTAAACGCATAGATTTTCGACTATTTATGACTTAAAAAAAATGAAATAAAGTGTGTCTGGCTACGAACGACCTTTTTCACTGTGACAGTCAACGTGTTAACTAATGGACATATGTGGCTGAAGATTATTTATGAAGATTTATTAATTTGCTAAACCTCGTTAAAATGTCAGCGTTACACCTGGGGATCTCTTCAGTATCAGTGCCTTCGAACACTCATCGAGGAGTTACTGTATGCACTTTGGATGTGCAGCGCTGGATGATTCGTTCACATTGGAAGGTGTAAAGATTGGCTTTCATCTGTATTCTATCCAATGTGTGTCTACAGTCCCAACCATGGCAATAATGAATCGAATGGATTCTGGATGAATCGTCCGCGATGCACATCGAAAATGTAAATACGACTTAACGAACGCGGATACGTATATGGATGTAATGAAAGATAAAAAACTAGCCAAAAGAACTACGAAAATTGGTGTTTTGCTTACTCGTGTAATGATCGTCCTCAGACATGTCTGCCGGCTCGGGAGTCGAGATATTTTCCTGCAACAGATAAAATATAATAGTATATATCAATTGAACGTATAATAATCTTTTCTTAACATGAAACGAAATAGATATATTTCAAATAGCAGTGTCAAAAATAGCGGGGAAAACCGTGCGGCGTGCCGGTTCGCTTACGGTCGCGGCAGTGGATTGAAACTCAATACGGTAAAAAAGTTCGATACATCGTAAGAAAGTTTTCGTATCACTCGAAACGCTGATACGAATTATTAACGAGATAGATATGATTCCACTTGAATTTCGTTTACGATAAATTATACTTCATGGAAATCCGAAATGGGATCCAGAGTCTGAAAAATATTGGCCCGATTTCCGTTGGTTCTCGATCGCTGATAAAAATTAAAACGCAGCCGAGTCAGTGGAGGGGAAGGAGACTTATCAATCCCCGCGGTCAGCCGTGCACGCGGTCTGTCTGACACGTTTTCATGGAATCGCGATTGTCTTCGCGATTGCGCCACAGAAAAAAACATACATACATACACACACACACACACACACACACCGTCAGACATTGCCGTACACCCACGGAACGGCCGTGGACTTTATTGTCCCGGATCGCGAGCTGGCAGCGGCTCTTGCGGTTCGTCTGAACGCAAATTACTTACGCCTCGGCTCGACGACGTGCCGTGGGAGACGGGGATCGAGGCACGTCGAGAATCCCGGATCAATAGCGTAACCCGGGGCGCGAGCAACACGGTGTCTACGCAAGGGGAACCGACCGACAGCCGACCTCGTCGAAGCTGCCCAGGCGTTGAACTCACCAGCAGCGCCACCCAGTGGTTCAGAAGCAAAAATTCAACGGCTCAAATGGTCGAAAAAGGAATTTCTTTAATTTTCCGCAAACATTCGCGTCAACGTATTATTAACCCATGAAGGATTCGTCCCATGCGTTATCGTATGCTCCTCGTACCCCTTTCGTATCATCGATCACAGTCAGAAATGGGAAAGAAATTCCCTGGAATTTCGTACCTTCATGGATACGTTGGGAACGCTGTTAATTTTGATAAAAATTTGTTTGATCGTCTACTTCCACTTAGAGAAACAGGTAAGTTTTAAGATGTTTACGATTGAGATAAATAAGCATATTAGCTACTGAATTTTAATTCTGGATTACGGTGATGTTAACTGTTTTGACATCTTTTTCTTTTCTAATATTCATTTTCAGGGATCATTTCGATTACTTATTGGGTACACCCACTCCGAATAACGGGTACTGCGCTTCGAATCATGCCTGATTAACCCCAACTACCATTCCTCCCATGAAACAAGAAATGAGCCAACTCCAATTTCACTTATACTGGACACCCCATAATCTTCATCAAAAATCAATAAAAATCGTTGAATGAACAACATTTATCAAACCTTTAGGCCTCTATACTCTACTGCAAAAAGAAGTCGTGACCAAGCAATCCGCAAAGATCGATGTGTTGCCAGAACGAGGATTCCCATATGACGGGGTGAGATCATCGTGGCTCGACGTATACTAAATTCGCGACATTGGTCCCCAGTTGACTGGTCACCAGGCCCCCACCCCCTTCCCCATGAAACCAGGCGAGCGTCGATTTCGCAAGGCGTGCGCGCGCACGTGCAGGCGATGCCTGGGCCCCGACCGAGCCGCCGCGGCTCTCCTATCTGTGTCAGGTCTCGTGTTGCAACTGCAGAAGGTCGACCGGTATACACCACGGAGCACGGCCAATTGATACGACACCGGCCGCAACTTTGTCCGGCGCGGTGTTGTAGGACGACCAGCGGCCGGCCGACATGTACGCGTGCATACCCGCGCAAAAAGCGCCGGTGATGTAACCAAGGAATTCCGCGACCGTATCAGCGAGCGAGTGCGCGACCTGACGAGCCGTTCGGTGATTGGAGAGCCTTTGAACGAAATTGGAGGACTGAAAAGGATCCGACAGAGGATACGGACTTGCATGAGGATAATTGATCCCGGGGGCTGCTACACACGTTTAACTCTTTCAGGCAAACGATTTTAAAGAAAATAAAAATCCTAGTTGCACAGAATTTTTTTTAATATAAAAAAAATTATATAAAAACAAAATATTAAACTGTATGACTATGAGTAATTTCAACTTTTCGAGGTGGGTCAAAATATATACCACCATGCATAAGAAGGTAAGCAGAAGGTGGCCAGTTTTTAACCCACCTAACACTAAAGAGTTAACCCCTTCGTACCGGTGGACGAGATATTTCGCCATGTGATTTCGTTCATGATATGCTTTGGACGATCTCGTGAAAGCATATCATGAACGAAATCACGTGGCGAGATATTTTGTCCATCGATGCGAAGGGGTTAATGATCAAGATGTTTGCACCCACTAGAGCTAATGAAATGTGGTCCCTTAGTTTTGGTGCATTGATGTTAGACCCTGTAGGCTTAAGGACAGCTTACTAGTTCTGGGTACTTTTGTTGTAAAAAAATCATCGTATGAGAAAGTTGGCATTGAACTTGCTAGAAGAGGTTGTTGGTCCTATTAGATCTGGTTTGGATAGGTTAGCGGTAGATTGGTTTCTAAATCGGGTGCTTCATCCTATTGAAGATAATAGAAAAGACCTGATCTTGCTAGATCTGCCATGGAAAACATAGGTTCTCTATGTTCACAAACCAAGCTCTTGGTTTTATTAGATTAGCTAACGTTGTCGCGAAGATACATTTACCAAGGGAAGCAGGAATAGTCTGTGGTGACGAGTGCATCGTAACGCATATAGGTACAGTGGAAGACTTTAAAGTACACACTCGATAGTTAGGTTTCGTTAAATCCTGCACATAGTATAGGTACATTGCAGATTAGTAAAATAAGATCTAAAAGAAACACGAAAACAATAGATGGTATAAACAGAAGATTTGGTTGTTCCATTATTCAACAAAACATGCGTCCATCCTTTCGAGCCACAATAATGCCCCGCAAAATTTCTTCGAATCACGTCCTGATCATGACCGATATTTCGAGATCTTCGACCGCTTCCGATCAGATACCTCTCTTTTTCCGGGCTGGTTCGACGTCACGAAGTTTGCTTGAATAATCGGTGGCATTTATTCACCGGAAATTTGCATCCCCAACCTCGAGTTACAGCTACACCGCGTCAACTGACGCGGAGTTATTTTCAGAATTTTTCGTTAAGAGTTTAATATAATTCATCGGTACGTTTCAACTCGCGACGTCTGTTTCCGGATCACAGTTCGGACGGGATAAAATTTCGTTGAATATTTCGACGTAATTTTCAACCTGGCTTCTTTTATTTCAATTAGAGTTCGCCCGGTTTGCGAGTTATAAATATGCGTTGCAAAGAGAAAACTTCGAATCTCGATCGAACGTCGAAAAATCAGGTGTGCGATTTACATACATATATGTCCAGCTCTCTCTCTCTCTCTTTCTCGCGACTCGTCCACGGTATCAGCGATAAGCATAACCGGTCCCGTTGTTCAATTGATGGAGACAAGCAGCCGTTTCCCAATGATAGTATGTAATTCGTTTCAGTATTTTAATTGATTCAATTCCCGGCGAGGTGCCTCGGCCTCGACGGTCGTGATTGAAATTCATACGCGTCCGGAAAATACGAGGCAGAAGATTTAATAAAACAATGGGACATCTACGCCATCGAGTCCTTTACATTGTTTCCTTAATTTAAAATATCCAGGCATATTTCGATAATTTCAGAGTCGCCACCGTGAAATTTTTACATATTCCTCGCCTATACGTTCAATCATTAATACTCATTCAAAAATTTACCTAACAATAAGATAAATTTCATAATACTATTTCTCTCCCCTGAGGGGAGGAAGCTAAACCCACTTTCTCCCCTGTAGGGTATGGCAAAGGTCATTTTTTCCCCAAATGTCCCCCTCTGACTACGCCAATTGCTATTGGCGACTATTACCACGTATTCCCCCGGGCATAAGGGAGGTCTCGAAAATCGTCGGAAGGCTCGATCGTCGTTCCGAAATACGACTTCGTAAATCATGTCAGCGCAGGGGCATCGAGGTATCCTGAGGTCGTAGGTACTAATGAACAATGTCCTCTGGCTTTCTCTCTCTCTATCTCTCTTTCTCAGCGGCGGTGCTCCACCTTCCCTCTTTCTCCCCCGTCTCACCTACGCACGGGCCGCCCCACTTCCGGCGGATGTACCCTGATAAATGGGAATCTCGCTGAACGCGGCGGCGACCGGTCTCGGCCGTGTAGGTACACCTACGAGCGGCGCACACGATGTCGAGTGAGAAACGAGCCGGGGGAGCGGTCGGTGCTCGTCTTCGAGGCCGTCGGTGGCGCCCGGGGAGAAAAATCAGGGGCCAGAAGGAGGGGAAAGGGCCGGTCGAGCGGGCTCGTTCGAGCGTTCTTAACACACGCCAGGAGGAACGGTCGCGAAGTTAATGATTTCACCAGACGATCGCGCCAACGAGTCCAAGGGAGACGAGACACCTATGCTGCCCTCCTTAGCTTAATCGTCCTGACGTATTCAGACAGATCCGAGAAAAAGCAGGTTTTATCATTTTCTTGGTGACGTCCTTGGTCTTCATCGTAGGTAATTGTAATATAGCAAACCGTTTAAATTATATTTATTTTCTTTCTCTTTTACATGTATATTGAATATAAATAATTGAGGCAAACGTGAGTCATAACTTGAGACTATCTAGGTTAGTAGATGTTATATAGAAGAGTGTAAACTAGTAGAATCATTTGAAGTCATGAATAAAGTTGGGCTGTTTCTAGAGACCTAAAAAACACGCGGGTCTTTCTGGATTTAACTGAGAAGTGAAAAGCATATGGGGCTCCGAATATTTCGAAGAATCTTGGGAACCGATAATTTGTTAGATTGGATATTGGAATTGTCGTGTTATGCGAATTCTTGTTCCAAACAATCAGGTTCCTAAGAATGAACAGAACTGTTCTACGCAATTCTTTAACCGTGTTAGAGGAGAACTGTGTCGTATGAATACCTCGTTATTTGGGGGGTTTCCCTAATTCTCT